TATAAATACTACTGCGTGAAACCAAGTTACACGGGAATATAACCGGGTCACTACATAGATAGTATTTATAATCTATTACACACGCGTGCACTGTACATGTATGTACGTTGTCATCAGCAGTCAGGAAGTAACACACACGATGATCATACTGCTGAACAACGTTTTTAGAAGAATGAGGAAATGTTTCAAAGCATCGATATATACAGTGGCTAGCTAGATTTTACTATGACACGATGTACACGTAGTACCACGACGTTGCAAACCTGCATTCTCCTAATCTCAGCCTCCATGCAAACTCACACCACGACGGGTAAGAGAAAACAATGGAGTCTAATTACTGTTTTCCATCTGCTAGAATTGGACAATTACCAGATCTCTTTATGTTGAGTTGACAGTGATGCATAATATATGTGCAGATACATGAATGCCTCGACGTTCCCAATACGGGGACGTAAAAGAACCACCGAGGGCGCAAAATAACTCTGGCTGTGACCACCCTCAGTGCCTTTCGGCTAAAAGGCTAAACTACCTGGCTTTACCCAAGCTAGGTAACACCCCATGGCTAGCTATAGCCCAAGCTATGGCAATCGAGCAACAAGATTTCTCTGCGGCCGTCTCAGCTAAAGCTGTGCCGTCGATCAACAGGACTTCTTGCCAAGAGATGCTATCCTGCACCATGTAGCGTCGTCATCCTAGGCGTAGTCCCACAGTTTAATATATATAATAGTATATGATATATATATATATATATATATATATATATTCTGTGTAATGCCCGTTTCAGGCTCTCCTAGGCAAAAATTATTAATTAAATTTTTAATTATTAAATTATTAAATTAATTATTACGGCCACGCTTGTCCTCATTTCGTCGTTCGATATAATAAACAGTATTGAGTATACACACATCAATGGCTAGCTACTGCTGCTTTCAGTCCTCTCTCTAATGTCTGTCAACGTCCGTAATAATGTCTCTGTGAATCTCAACCAATCTTTTACGAAACACTAAGCACTGCAATAATCTTCAGCGCCTAAAAATAGCCAGTAACTCTCCAGGTCGGCTTTGTATGAGCAAGCAAACACCTATCATAAGTTAACACGCGTCCACACGAACACATTTTGGGGATATACCAAACAGATTATCAAGGTGAGGATTAAGCTGTACATAGTTTCACTGTGCGCTGCCGCTAAAAAAAGGCAATTCATAAATTCTACAAAGAAAATACCAGAACCGCTATTGGCAAGTCGTATATATTTGAACAAGAGGCCTGGGTTAACATTACAAGATGAGAACCACCACCTCCCCCCCCCCCCACACACACAACCCGTCTGTGCTAATCCGGGGTCTGTTGTTCAAATATAATTTGTACTGCTGACCTGAATTGCTTCTGATACATCCAGATCCGGGGTAAAAAGCCCCACATTTATTAGCTTCCTAGAGCTTGACGGTACCTCCCTACCCGTCGCAGGGGAGGGGCCGATTTGTTTTCTCCAAAGTCCCCCACTGCAAAGGAACCCCTTATGGTGGATGCTGGCACTGTGCCAACAAAAACAATCGGAGTAAATTCCACGCCAGGTTTGCGAGAGGCAATCGTGGCAAACGTTACCGCACACTCTTTACTGTGGATCCCCTACTTATTCTACAAGCTTCTAAATTTTAATTTTGGAAGCAGCAATAGAATTTGACACTCACCCCTTCCCCTACACCAAAACCATTCAAATACGAAAGAAAAGAAACTGAAAGACTATCTAGGAGTCACGCTCTAGATGCTATCAAATTGTGTTAAGATACTTATAGAAATCCCAGGTTGTGTGCTTTCCTTGGTTCCGAGAAACGGTCACCAACCAGTATAGTCGTGTATGGTCAGGTCACGAACCTTTATAGTGTGGTTGACCATCTTAAAGCTGCCCTACCCTCACACCAAACAGCTTACCTATTCGCTCACCATTTACACTGTTGGCGCTGTGCTGGAGCAGGAAATACACATGTACATTTGAGTTTTAATTCATGTTTAACTGCTATAAAAGAACATAAGTCATTACAGCTCCAACAAAATAAAACTGCTGCTCTGATAGAATGGAATGATCAAAACATGCACCCATCTAGGTAAGCTATTTTCTGCGGTGATCAAGCAGCTTTAAGGGCAATGCTTACTCAATCAATGTGCCAACCTACTTATCCGCTGTCCATATAGACTTAGCATTCTCCCCACTCCAGCCCAGATCACAAGGATGGCACTGACAGAACACGGTGGAGTCTGCCAGCTAGTCACCACATACCATACTCTGCCCAGACAGTAATTAAGGGTCTTCTATTGAGAACCAGGCCATGAGCTTGCCATATGTGGATGAAGAGAGGCAGGGACACACTGTTTCACACATGCAATCGATCATCGGCGTAAGCGTTTGCATGGATGGTTTCATGTTATTCGGGCACTAATAAACAGATCAAAAGCTGAATGCTGACGTGTGTTCAATCAACTAAGCAAACTGCAGTTGCCGACACAGACTGTGGAAATATATTTTTTTCTCGTAGCAAATGCACATATGCAGCAACTTTCGAAATGACGAAATTAACCGTGCAATCAACTATACAAGTACATAAATTAAATAAGTTCACTGCTACTTCCGTTGTGTTTCATTACATTTTGCGCATTATAAAATGTCTTTTAAAACTATAGTAAAGATTTGGTCATCCATTCACATATCAAACCTGTCGATGTTTTTTAAGAATGTTTTTCGAGCAGTTGGACCACTGCCATTAGGTTATAATATATATATTGTTTACAGACAATATTATTATTTCTTTTTACACAAAAACACTCAATCTCAGCTGAAGCACAAGGCTTATTCAACAGTGGCATGGGGAGATTCAGTCAAAAAAAATTCATGTATGCCTTCTCTATAGTTCAAGTGTTGAATACTTTTGAATATGGTACTTACAACATACAATACATGGTATGAACAGTTTACTTACAAAAGACAAACTTGTCACCTCTACTTACTAATACTAGTACTACTAGTACTAGTACTAGTGGCACCTGGATTGGTACACCTGCATCACCACCATCAACAATAACAAGTCTTGTCTCTATCCATTCAGGTTGGATTCGCTACGACATGAAAGAAGGTTTGACTGAGCCTGGACTTTCGAGCAAATTTAGTTTTGTAAACGCCCCCTTAAAGATGGGAAATGCTATCCCCCGGGCGTGGAGGGACAGTACCGCAACGTGGCAGCACTAGTGTTAGGATCAGGGTTAGGGTTAGGGTTAGGGTTAGGGTTTTTGCATCATGATATCTGTCCCCACACCATAGATTAATTTTTGTGGATGACATCCCTATATATAGATATCCGATATATAGATATTTAGTGTTAGGGTTAGTGTTGGAGTTAGGGTTATGGTTACTGTTAAGTTTTGAAGTATACGTCAACTGCATCACGTGACCGTCCCTCCACGCCCGGGGGATAGCAACACCACTTGAAGATAGTGCCAGTCACAGGCACTTGGAATGTCTCAATAAAAAAATCTTAGTAACTATAAGTAAATAAGTAATAAAGTAGTAATACTAGTATAAGTAATATATAAAAAATAAGTAACTATAGCCCGCGTACGGTTGCCGCACTGTGACTATAGAGGCTAGAGATATAAATTGTCAATTGTGATGGTTGTTAAAACAAAGTTCCGATGCCAGTGGCGGACAGAGCAGTGTTACTAATGCTGAGAGGGTCTATGTCCCCCGGGGTACTGCCGGAACGTACCCTGGGTACGGTCCGGTATACCGGAACGTAGCCTCCCAGCAAACACGGAACATTCTCGTAACATTCGCTGGAGGTTCTAGTTTGGTTACATTAGCCAAAAATATTCTAAGAACATTCCCATATCGTTATGCATTCATTGGTTTTACTTATAGTGAGAGAGTTATGTTCTTGGAATGTTCGGAAAACGTTAACCGTCCTCGGATGGGTTCGAAACTCCTAATTGCCGTTTTTGTGATGTTGCAAACTATAGCACAGGTATCAAATGTATTTTTGTTCGCAGTGGCTACGGGTACGGTAGTCCATTTGCGCATGCATCGCTTTCCCACAAAATAATGTCGTTCACTAGCTATTAATTAATCAATTAGCTAGCCTACACTAGTTGTTTGGAATTGATTGTCAGTTCATAAACAGTTCAGTTCAGTTTGTTATTGAAAGCTAAAGGTTTTATACACCATAGATTAATTTATCTGTGTTTAGACGCTATCATATACGACTCGAGTCGCTTTATAGTTAGTGATAGGGATAGTTATACTGTTTGTACTTGTTTGTGTGTGTGTGTGTGTGTGTGTGTGTGTGTGTGTGTGTGTGTGTGTGTGTGTGTGTGTGTGTGTGTGTG